TAGGGCTTTTCTTGGAAATTGTAAGAGAATGCAGCAGTGTGAACAAATTTAAAATCATTTGTATTCTGTTTCTAGCTACAACGACGAGTACTACATCAACAACAGGTATTGATTGTTAGAATCAGTGAAGTGCAGACTTTATTCTATTTTGAGATATCACAAATAATTTGACTTTAGCGTCAACGACTACTAGTACTACAACAACATCGAGAAGTATGCATGATTAAAATACCTTCATGTGTTTTCAGAATAACATTAAATTAGTTGTTTTAACAATATCGGTTATATGACATAACACAATACTCTTAAGACAGCAGATTTCATTTATCTTTGATCTCAGTCACACCAACTACCTTAGAAAAAAAGCACAATACTAACAAGTAGGTTTAACAAAGTGTGACTTCAATGTATCAACGGCTTATATTTTCTCAAATATTTTGTAACCAACGCACCACATTATATTTGATGCACATCCTCCAAGTTTCTAAATGACTAATTTGACCGACCGTTTTGAGAAGAATCCTGATCAAAGTTCGATACACAGTTACAAAATAAAATTCTTTTCACCTTGTAAATACTACTTTTGTTTGCAGGTCGTGGAAAGTAAATATAAGTGTTCAATAAGATAATAAGATAAAGATAAATGCTCAATGGTAAAAGCTGAACTAATTTCCTTTTAAAAGGTAAAGAAATTACTGATACACCTATCTGTTACGGTGAACGTAAGCGAGTGAACATCTCTCTCTATATATATCTTTGGAGAGAGAAGAAACGAATAAAAGTTTTTCTCTTCGTTTTGTAATAATTATAGACAGATAGTAAATAATTTGTTTTCTTTCATTTTTTTCTGTACACAGTGTGCTTTCATCTTATTAATATCTATACAAACATTTCGAAACGACACTTAGACAATTTTTAATGCGATAGAGGTGTGATTTTGTTTGAAATACAGGGTTTAGTTTACTTGTATTAATTCACTTCGTTACTAACAGACAAGGGTATTTTTTATATAGAGAACATTTTCTATTCAAATCTGATTAAAGAAATAGAAACTAACCAACAACAAATATGTACTTTTCTTGAATAATTAATATGCGATAGGATATATACAAGATGGCAGACCAGTAACGTCTCTTAAATGACCATAACTTTATTAGTTAAAACGGAAGTAACAGAGTAGTAAAAATAGCAGAAAACTATAACGCAATGTCAAGTCTAATCTTTTATTTAAGGAGAGGGGATTTAACCACTCCCAAACCTGTCCTCAAATTATACCAGTGTATAGAGTGCGTTGAGTACTATGTATCTTCAAGAAATTTCAGCGATCCTATGAATATTGGTGAAATTATGAACGTTTTAACGCTGTACTTTGGTCTAAATTTTCGGTCTGGCAGCTGATTTTCGATATTTCATAAGTCATTCAGGAATATCGACAAAAGGTATGAGGAAGTATAATGTTTCGGTGCACAATTATTCATAGTTATTATGTATGTAGGAAAGGAAGAAAACATTTCTGTCTAACAGACTTTTTATAAATTTTTTCTCTAAAACTGATGCCAGTTCACTTTAGTAAGCTCGTTTGCATTATCTCAGAAAATACCACTGGGAGCATCGCGATGAAATTTGAAGAATGTTTTGTGAGATAATTGTTTAACATACGTCAGCGGTTTTTTACAACTGATCACAAAAGTCAACTTTAAAATGAAAATCAAAGAATTTTTTTCTCTTTCTATTTCTCCTGGCACCATCTATCTAACATTCTTTATTCCGAAACAATTACGTCCATGTTTGCGGATGACAAGAGCCGTCAAAGTCTGTTTAACGTCTCGCCTCTGGAATAATCATGAAAAAGTTTTCTTCCTCATCGTTCGTTGCTGAGGCAAAGCTTACTTTAGAATCCCTTTCATTATCGATAAAACTACTTGTTGTCAAGGAGTAGAAATCTGTCCGACTTTAAAAGTCATTGTTGTCGATTTATAAAAAACGTTCGCCTATTAATTACTAGAGCAGATGATAGTAGTTTCATGTTAACATAAGAAATTGGGAGACGTAGCAACTGAGTAGGACCAAGGGAAAACGGGAAGAGAACACTGTTTGTTAAATGAAGTGGAAATGCTAGTTTATGGTACGACTGCATTTAATGGCGCATCAACAACAGGTATTGATTGTTAGGATCAGAGGAGTATAGACTTTATTCTATTTTGAGACACGACAAATAATTTGACTTCAGCATGTTGTTTTAGCAACAACGGCTACTACAACAACTAGTACGACCAGTACAAGTTCTTCAACTACAACATCCACAAGTAATTTGAATAAGTTTTTGTTTAATTTAATCTCCAATTTTTACTGTTGACAAAGTGTTTTGAAAAGTTCATCCGTTGGAGATATGATCTATGGTACTTGCATTGAAATTAATAGTCAGTGTTCTTAAATGACTGTTTTAAACTATCTTTCGAATTGTTTTAGCGACAACTACATCTACGACGCGTACGACCACGTCTACAAGTAAGGAACTCGCTTGTGGATTGTAACTGTGCATAGAACATATTTAATGCTTCACAATGAGCTTTTACGTTGTACAGCTGCAACAACAGTGGCAACAACAACAACCGTGGCAACAACAACAGTGATAACAACAACGATATATGTACCTTCGGGTGAGTAATGATTCTTGAACTTATTAGGATAATCTCATTTTAGACATTGCGATACTGATAGTTTTTCACTCCACTTTCACAGGAGTGTAGATTTTAGTTTTCTCCTTGGGACGAATATATCAGATATTGTGCAACAATGCTTCCGTTAGCTTTGAAGCTTAACAAAGTGTGCAGGGCTTTATAACACTATATGTTCGAAAACGGTAAATGTGTTTCGCTTCGAACTCTTTTGGTTAACTTTAAGTGTCTGCATATGAAAATCAGTTTCAAAATATTTACAATATTTTAAAAAAACTTTAGGTGTTTCATCTACCTCTCTTGCACTCTCGAATGATCTTTCTCCCAAATCTGTACGATTAGTGATAGCTGAGAAAGAGTAGCTGACTCGAGGTAGAAACTAGGGTCTAGAAGAAAGAAAGACGAATTTTTTGTAGTGAAACAGAAAGCCACTCCGAGTTTCACTCCGTCGGGCTAACTAGAGATCAACTATGCTGCGGATAGATTGGAAAGTTGACTGAGTGAAACAGTCAACAGACGAAATTAGAAGATTTAGAAACTCATAACAGTCTGACTACGTTTCAAGAAGAATTCGTATATTCCTATATCAGCTGATTCATTATCGGGTCATATGTTGTGCTATAGTATGGCTTCCAATATATTCAGCACTGTAGCATATATTCACTATCAAATGAATCACATGACGATTCATCACCGTGTTACATATTCCACCATAGTTTTTATCGTATCATAAGCGCTGTAACATATATTCAGTATGAACGACATCACGTGACGATTAATTATCTCATAGGAGAAATTACAGAGTTTTCTAAAAGTCTCATTCTGTGACGCTAATTATACGATAACAAAAGCAAATATCAGGAAAAACACTTGATCTCACAGTTGAGACGTGTCATCTTCCCCTTCTCTACTTTCGAATCATCTTTTACCGAAATCTGTACTATCAGAGGTAAGTGAGAACGAGTGTCTGACTCGAACACGAAAATACAGTGTGGAAAGAACTAGAGACCAATTATACTGCGCATAGACTGGAAAGTCGACTGAGTGAAATATATACCCTTTTTGTGACACTAATTATACGATAACTAAAGCGAATATCGACAGCTAACTTCAGATGTGTCATCTACAATTCCTGCACTTTCGAATCATCTTTTTGGCAAACCTGTACAATCAGAAATAACTGAGAAAGAGTGTCTGGCTCGAACGAGAAAACACAGTGTGGAGAAAATGAAGAATTTTTCTGGGTGAAAAGCAACTAGATACCAACTATGCTGCGCATAGATTGGAAAGTCGACTGAGTAAAACAGTAAACAGACGAAATTAGAAGATTCAGAAACTCAAAATAGTCTGACTACGTTTCAAGAAGAATTCGTATATTCCTATATCAGCTGATTCGTTATCGTGTTATATGTTGTACTAGAGTATAGCTCTTATTATATCTGTAGCATATATTCACTATGAAGTGAATCACGTGACAATTGATTATCTCATGACAGAAACGATAGAGTTGTGTAAAAAATATACTCATTTTGTGGCACTAATTATACGATAACTAAAGCAAATATTCGAAAGCTAACTACAGATGCGTCATCTACAAGCCCTGCACTTTCGAATCATCTTTTCCGCAAACCTGTATGATCGAAAATAACTGAGAACGAATGTCTGACTCGAACGAGAAAACACATTGTGGAAAGAAGAATTTTTTTCTGAGTGAAAAGCAATAAGTCTCCTTGAGTTTCACTCAGTCGACTTAAAGAAAGAAGAATATTGCTAGGCAACGGTCGAAACTAAACAGAATAAGTCTCCTTAAGTTTCACTCAGTCGAGCAAACATCACTTCTCGATGAAAATAGGCACTCAATATGGTTGATATCCGGAACAGCAGGGACACTTTGTATGAAAGAGTAATGTATGTTGTTCTACACTGTGAAAGAAACGGTGATTATTACCATAGGTAATAATGACAGACGCGTGATCTTCAGCTGTTAAATGAAACCTTTAAGCGCTTTACAGTTAGCTACACCAGAAGTGTTCAATTATTATTGAACCACCCGACAGACTGTTAGTTTTAATCCTTTTAAAAAAGAGCCACCGTAAAATAATCAAAAGGAAAGGAGAAGCGAGGTCTCTAATTATTAAGATTGAAAATTAAAATACAAATGTAAACAGAATGAGGTAAATGGTGAAAAAATGAAAAATCTTGAATCGCATATATCAGCAGCGACAGAGACACGAGTCTGACATCACACCCATTTACTCAGCTTGTTAAAACGTAATGGGGGTAGGAGTGCTGTAAATGCTATTGAATCTGTTTGTATTTGCGATGAAGCTGCGGCATAAAGACCGAGAACTTGATCGGGTAGTATACCTTCCCGTAGAAGTAAGTTGTTTAAGTCGGTTTCAAGATTAAGACTGTGGTACTGTTTATTCTGAGATATTCCGCATTGCTTTGACCAATTGTGGTCTACGGTTCGAAACAATCAACTAACAATATCTACAAAAAATGCAAAATATTGTGAAACAACGCATCTCGGTAAAATTGCTTGCTAACTCCGACTGACTGCAGATAGTTTTGTTCACATGCTAAAATCTTTCCAATCATGTCACACGAACCAAGCCTAAGAGAAATGCAGTACCAAAATAGAATCGACTATCAAGTGATCCGATATGCATTTCATGAGATTATAAAGATTTTGCAAGTAAACGAAACTGGCTTTAGTTAGCCGAAGAAAGCAAGTGTGCGTGCTGAGGTATTTGCCTCATTGTAGAAGCCTTACAACAAATGGACATGCATATGTAGAAAAGAATCCTATCAACCCACGACTCTGTTCTCAAATAGTACAGATTTTAGCAGTGGAAAAGAGGAAACGAAACAGCAACAGGGTAGCAGCAATCAATATATGAGGATAGAAACTCTTGTTTCTGCAGATGCGGACGGGCGCTGCTATTTAATCTATGACCCTTCCTTTTAGTCTGGGAAATGATTAAGATAATTATAATCGACCCGAAAGCGATCGGTTAACGACGCCCTTGTTAGGTAATTCCTTTCGGAATCGTTTTGCATCCAAGGGTTAATAGCCAAAGAAGAATGTAATTGTTACACACACTTTATTTTAACAAATTACAACTATATATAGTATATTTTAGCTACAGAAACATTCCTTTGGGAAACTGGGAAAAACAGCTATTGTACAAGAGAGAGAGAGTGAGAGAGAGAAGAATAAAAATGAAAAATACCCATGAGAAAGCGTGAACAGAAAGAGAAAATAATACATCATAGAAAAACAGGACAGTGAATACATATAACAAAAGAACAGAAAGGGAAAATAACCATCGAGTGAAGAGAACATGTATATTTGAAAGATGACCATTGCTGCCAAAAAAAAAAAAAGTATAAATTTGATTTATACTTCCTAACACCCTCTTGTTCCACTTGAGAATACTAAAAAGGGATTTAATATACACATGTAGCACTATTCTATGAACAGTTGATAATGACGTCTCTAATGAACTAATAGTGGTCTGTGTTATGTTTTTTTAGCAATATTCCAGAATTCTTGTACAGCATCCCTCGGTGGTCCAATAACATTGCTGTATATGTCCAATGCCGCTGCATTTGCTTACACGTATCACTCTTTTAATTACGTAGCTACATCATATCAAGCAACACTTTCATTAGCATTTCGTCAAGATCCAAGCTGGTGGTGTTTGGATGATATTGCCGTTACGTATGGTGGCGTTAATTCATTTCAAAACGGTGGATGTAAGCGTTTAATCTACAAGTTTAGTATATGACACTCTCTGCGTGCGTGTGTTTTAGTTGAAACAGGCGCATTAGGTACATCTTACACATTTTGTAACCCTCAAACTGCATCATCATCGGGAACAGTTTCAACCACATGTCCTCACACAGGATCTTATAGTTATTATGACGGATCTGTTACAAATCCCGATTATATAAGTCAAACATTTGCCGTTGTATCTGGTCGAACATACGTTGTCAGCTTTTGGATTCGAAACATGGGTGGACCGACAAATAGTGCTACGATCATTATTGGTACTTAGAAGACAAGAAATATTTGGAGACATCAGATTATACTATTGTTTTCAACCTATGAATGAATTTTATAATTCTAGTTAAATTTTTTGTAAATAGAAAATTACGGCCTATTCACTTTTTTTAGCAACCTGAGTATTATACAGCATACCCTTCTCTACAAAATGAGCTATGTATTATAGTGATAAGATTCGAAATATATTATCAGATTTTTATGATATATTCAGAAGTTGAAAATGATGTAAATTCAGCTTAGAAGCTTAGAGATATACTTCTCTGACGGTCACAACAGCACGCTTATGTCTATGAGACAAAGGGATCAAGAAAAAGCTGAGAGCAAAACTTGCGTAGTATAATTTTTAGTTTAAAGTTTGAATCTTTTTCTCGTAAGTCCCCCCGGCTAAATTTTCTTTTTGATTTGTAGATAACACCTATAGGTAGGAGTTGACAGAACCGAATTTTTAAATTATGCTTCCAGTTTTTATAGAAATGAGGAATTCTAAGAAACCTTCCCGGGATTTTTCGGACATTAAAGTTCTATTGAGCAACAGAAATTTGTAAATGAGAAATTCAAAAATCGGGCTCTGTCAACTCCTAGCCATAGGTGTTTACTACAAAACAAAAATAGCTAGAGCTCTCTATCATTTACCTGGAATGAAAATTCTGCACGTGGTAGACGCCTATTTTTGGCCCTTACTGTGGCACCCTCCCACGAACAGGTGTAAGTGGTGCCAAAACAAAAATTCCATTACCACACTTTGACATGATCAACATTCCTGAAAGTTTGGTTCAGATCAGACCTACGTGGACCGAGACAGGTTTCTGACACGGGGAGGAGGGTGGATCTTAAGTGTTTTACGTCATAAAAAGCCAAAACTACCTGAAAATAATATGTATTATTTTGTTATTGACGGTTTTGTTTTCGACGTAAATTATAAAGAGCAATTGAACTTAAATCCGTTCTTCTGTCTGAACGTTTTTTATGCTCAAACCCCGCATCTTTTTTTCCTGAACTTTGCAATACAAAATGGGAAGTTTCATCCGAGAATTTCGAAACGTTTTTGAGTGATTTTATGTATACTACGTTGGAAAACTTTCTCTTCTTTTTAGTTTATTTACTTAACATATTCTTGTTTTTTTTCAGCTGGTTTAGTAAAATGGTCCTTTGAAATATCCTCTGTTCTTGCCGCTAAAGTACAATGACGTTATCGTTCCTCTCTTCTTCTCTGATCTTTTCTTTTTCGAGAATATTCTCAATCTCTCTTGGGTATATATATATATACTTCCGTTCTCATTGACGAATTCACATTGTTCTTGAATTTGCCAAGGATATCATTTCTATATACCGTTTCTACAATAAAAACTAACCAGATGGAATCCTATGGAAATATGGAACGCGACGACCAGCCGTACTATTCATATGCCAGTGATGATACTAGCGAGAGTGACTTCGATTTCGATTACGATGAACTCGCCGATAACTTAGATGAACTCGAACTTTCCGATGAAGATTCGGATGTTTATGCAGAGGAACTGAATTCAATGAGTGAAAGTTCTATCACGGATAGCGTATTCACTTCAACATCTCTCAAAGAGCTAACTCCAGTTTCAGTCTTTAGAAACTTTTTTGATGAAGAAATTTTAAAGCTAATTACTGATCAAACAAATGTTTATGGGAAAGGAAAAAAACGAAGTAACCATCAGAAAAAAAGTAACTGGAAGGATGTGAGCAAAAAAGAGATTGAATCGTTTCTTGGATTGGTTATTCTAATGGGTATCAACAACTTGCCAAATATGAAACTCTATTGGAGTAACGATATGATATTCCAAAATACATTTATTTCTTCGATAATGTCAAGAAATCGTTTTCTTCAAATTTTTTATAATTTACATTTGGCTGACAACTCATTGGAACCGAAAAGAGGATCTAGAGAGTACAGCAAAATATACAAAGTTAAAAATTTTACTGAAATTCTAAGGAGAAATTTTCAAAAAGGTTATAGCTTTGACCGCTATGGGTCAATAGACGAAAGTATGATAAAATTCAAAGGAAGGTCAAGCCTTAAGCAATATTTGCCTCTAAAACCCATAAAAAGAGGTTATCAAGTTTGGTGTTTATGGGATTCAATCACTGGCTATCTATTCAACTTTCAAATCTATTTAAGAAAAGAGGAAATCAGTGGGAAAGAAACATCTTTGGGCGAACGCGTTGTTTTCGATCTTATCTCTGGCCATAATTTCCCAGGGAAATACCTATATTTCGATAACTTTTTCACTTCTCTCAGACTATTGGAAAACCTGAAGCTGCAGAACATAAAAGCCTGTGGAACTATCAGACCAGATCGAGCGGGTATTCCATCGGACTTTGCCAAGAAAAATAAAATGAAACGAGGAGATTGCAAATCAATGGTTCGATCGAACAGCATTGTCTTTATATGGATGGACACCAAACAGGTTTTATTGGCTTCAAATTATCATGAAGACAACGAAGTTGTTCCGATTTCCCGTCGTTTGAAAAATGGCCAACGTATTACAATCGACTGTCCGAAAGCAGTGAAAGATTACAATTAGTTTTCACATGGAGTTGATCAGCTCGGTCAAAGAATATCATGCTATAATCTCGATCGCAAGTCTAAAAGGAACTGGCTGCGAATATTCATTTATTTTCTAAACGCATCGATCTACAACTCATTCATTTGTTATAATCAGTTAGCTCAAGATAAGTTAACATACTTGAACTACATGGTATCAGTGGCGAAGTCTCTCTGCTCCGGGAGTGAACGAGTTAGTCGCGGAAGACCTCCCTCTGAAAATAAGTCTCGATTAGCATTTATCCAAAACAGTACTCAATTTTGTCAATGAAATGCATTTGCCTGTGAAAGGCAAAAGAAGAAGATGCGCTTATTGTAGCACCAAGGAAAGAGATGTTCGATCCACCATAGAGTGCTTCACTTGCAAATTGTCATTTTGTTTAAAAGATGGAAAAAACTGTTTTTTTGATTATCACACTATTTTTGAGTAACCATTTTGAATTAAAATAAAATAAAAAGACGAAACATGTTGATTTCGATTGAAAAAAAAAATCGGTCCTCAAAGGTTAAAGTGAAACGAAATAGAGCAATTAATATCCGCAAAAAACTCACAATCACAATCAACAATCAGAAATTATAGATACCAGTAGAGAAAATAACTTCTCCAAAACAAATAAATATAGACACTAGAAATGATACAATTTCTTTGATTATTTCAATGAAACACTATCATTGATCTAATTCTTTTTCAATTACACTTCTCATAGTTGGATTGTCATGTACATTAGAAAAGTTTCTTTCACCTTCGGAACACTTTTTATTGATTTCTTCTAACTAAATTTCGAAATTGTTACATTTTGTATCAATTTGAATCAATTTATTTTGAATTTTAATTAATTCAATTTCATTCAAATCTTATTCAGCAAATTTTAATTGTTTTAGTTGTTGAAAATCTTCTAGATAAGAGGCGGATAAATTTGTTGGTATCATTAATGATAATAATAATGCAATATGTAATGGAAATATATCATGAGTACCTGTTGAAATATTTATTTATTGCACTTCCTCTTATTACTAAATCTGAACATAGTTGAATAAGATGTTGTATGACACTAATAGAAGATTCAACAATATAATCGATATGCTTTTGTTTATCAAATAATGGTGTGCTATTCTTTTCATAAACAAATTCATAGAGACCAATACGAGCTGTTGATTTAATCTCATCGATTATGGATTCCTAGGTTTTGAACTACACTAGGTTTCACTACGGTTATCGAATCGGCAATAGACATTGCACTCTTGTAAATTAAAATGTGTACGCTGAATTTTGAAACTGTGCAGTGAAGTTATGTTTATTAATAAGAGTTCAGTCTATGTCTCTTCGGAATGTATAAAAGTAAACTGCCGTTGTTATATTATTCTTTTCGAACGGACGATAGATTTCTTCCTTCTTCATCGTCCAAACATCTCATTCATCAGCACACAACTTGTTATATATACTCTTCTTCTCTGAACACAAAGGCACAAGTCTTTCTCTCTATTTTGTTTGTATGTAGTATGCGTTAGCTTCATTTGATGAAAAAAACCAACATCACTACTCTTTATTGAATCTAAGTTCGGCTGATGTTTTGAAAATCAATATGACATTCTTTACCCAAATAATTGTCTTAAAAAACGATACTTTTCGTAGTTTCTAATTAATCCGTTAACGATAAATTCGAATGAGCGCAAATCACACAGGTGATAGAACCTGAAATTCTCTATAGAATACATTACCTTTTAGTTAAATCAGTAAGAGTGCACCGCTGATATCAAGTTACTGCAATATAATACAATCATTTTAACCATACTCAGTGATGGACGTCGAGTTACCACAATTATCCCAAGACATTCCATAACTAACCGTATATATACGAAGTTACTCTATTTGCTCACTCACGTCATTGTGACATGATCATATTGATCGTTTTCACATCAGCGCCCACGGACATGTAGGCTAGCGAGTGTAATTCTATAGCAATGTGACGAAGTGTCGAATCGAAAAGTGATTTTTTTCAGCATAAACTGGCATCGCACTCTTACAACAGCCACGTTTCACATAGAGCACCTCTATTATAACCGAACGTAAAACCCATATACGTCTAATAGAAGTGTATGACTTTCAACTTCATTAATCTTAGAGTTTTAGGTCTAATGTAAAGGCTTAAAGGTTAATTTCATTGTTTGATGTTTGCTTATCGTCTTGTGTTTTACAAAACCGAACAGATAAAATGACGTAAATGATGAAAGATCCCATAAATTTGATAGAAAAGCAAATAGGTGTAGTTTATCTAATCCAAACAGAACCAATGTATGTTATGTTCAGGTAGGTTTCGGTATGCATCACGACTTATTTTGCAAATCAAACATTTTAAAAATGAGACAGCGTCCCGATTCCGTGGTCAACTAAATGGTGTTTACTAGTGCTTGCACGG